CCTATACTGACTTGATCGTCGGAGTGCTCACCTTTTTGTGCAGGTCCGCCCAAGTGTTCAGATCGGTCCGGAGGCCGAGTTCGAGCCGCAATCAGAAATACACTGTTGTGCATATCCTTGCATAAACAATATTGATGTTGATTGGAAATTTTGCAAACAAATTATTTCATTTAAAATGGTTGAGTCTCTTTATACTGGTTATATAATAGGAAATGTCATATTAGAATCTCTCAAAGAATGAAATATCGTTAATAAAGTTTTATCTCTAACTCATGCTAGTAATAAATGATATAGCTACTTCATTTTTAAGTCATTATTTCATATTCCTTGTTGTGCCCATGTATTAAATTTAATAGTTCTCAATTTAGATGTGAATTATATTTTAAATGTTGTAAACAATTAAAAAAAAGAGAAAAAATATTAGAATTGATTTACCTCATAGATGGAATTCAACATTTAAAATGTTGAAAGTGTCAGTAGCATATAAAGATGTTTTAGATTTGTATTGTATTGAATTGCATAATAGTTCTCGTTATGTTAATATTGTACAACTTGCTGAGCTTGATTGGAGATATGCATTAGTTTTTCGAGATTTTTTAAATGTTTTTGATACTTCAACAAAATATTTTTGTTCGGTATAAAAGAAAAGTTTAATAAATATTTTGATGATTTGAATATTACGTTTTTACTTGGAATGTTTTTTGATCCTATATATAAAAATCATTTTTTAATACTTATTTAGATTTATTGTTCGATAGTAATATTGATAAAATTAATGATACTATAAATTCATTTAATTCAAAATTATATGAGATATATGATTTTTGTAAGAAAACGGTAAATAATTCTACTGCCACTGTTGGTGCATCTTCTTCATCTTCATCTAAATATTCAATAAATCTTGATAATTTCTTAACATCACATTTAAATGTTGCCATGATACTTTCTAAAAAGAAGAATATTGATTCTTCAAAAATTTTTGAAGCTCTTGATTTAAAAAATTATATGGATTTACCCACAATATCTATGGATACTATTGGATATAATAACAATTCATGTTTCGACTGCAGCATCAGAATGATCTTTTAGTGCAGGTGGTCGAGTTGTATCAGACACTAGAAGCGGCTTATCATCTTCAACCGTTGAAGCATTAATATGTCTAAAAGATTGGGGTCTAGCTGAGAAGAGAATGCACGAAGAATAAAATATTGAAAAAATGGCTGAAGAAATGGAAAAGTTGAAATCGTCAGTGTTGGAATTTAAGGACAATAGTTCTTTCGAAGAATTATTTTTCTTTTTAAATATTCATTTCCGTTGTACTGATATTATTGTATTTATTTATTTTATTTGAGAAAAATGCACATGATTAGTAAATGAGTAGGTGCCAACATAGTTGTGATGTATCATATTGTAGTTATGCGAGAATTCTCAAAACAAAATATAAATAAACAAATAATAGGAGCATCTATTATATTTTTTTGTCATTATTTTTGTAATTTTGTTTAGATATGTTTATATTAATAAAGTAAAAAGATGTAAATTTATTTTTTAAAAATAAAAAAAWTTTTTTTTTAAAATAAGACGACTTGAACTTATAAAATATGACATTACAGAATTTATTAGTAAGATTATAAAAATAACAAAAATTGTACCAAAAATTATATAAAAACACATATCTAGAATTTAAAAAAAAAAACTTAGTTTGGAACTTATTTAAATTTTAAATTTTAATAATTAAAAATATATTAATATATTGGTCAATCCAAGCCCAATCCAAAGAGCCAATTCAACTTTGGCTCATCGAGTTAGGCCCATGGATTGGGCTATAAGCCTAGGTTTGAGTGGTTGGGCCGATCCAAGCCCGATCGAAACAATACTTGTGGCCCGTAGGACTTAGATCTGGGCCAAGCTTAGATCATTACTTCTTTGGGTTGGGCCGACCCGACCCAACCCCGACCCAGCCCAATGATGAGGCTGAAATATGAGTGATGTAGATGCCTCTCGAAACCTCTGAAAAGTTACTGATGGTCATCAGAGGGTTCTAAAAAGTTTCCAGTGGCCATCAAAGTCATGTATATGTCATTTGAAACCTCTAAAAAACTTGTGAGTGGCCATATGAGTCATATATATGATAAAAATATAATTACTCTATGTTATTGTACAACCTCTTAAACAAGCAATCCATTGTCTTTCAACGGTAAGGATATCTCGCTTTCACACAAGAGACACAAGTTCTTTTCCACGTCATTTTGCGTATTTGTGGTCTGTCCATACTTTCCAGTCCGACGACGTATCGAATAATCCCAAACGACATAAAATAAAAGGGACGGGATGAGGAACTTTCTAATCCTTCTCTAGAATGGAGAATTTTCATACTCCTCCTATTTAAAAGTTGCCACATATCAAATATCTTTATTATTATAAGAAATAAAAAATAGATATATTTTATGTGGGGCCCACATATTTAAAAACAATATTTATTCAATGTATTTTACTCTCTCTTAATTTAATGGTATACATTATCTCTCCTATCTATTACTCTTTATGATTATGTACTTTCTTGGATTTTTTTAATAATTATATTTTAAAAACAAATGACAAAAYTAGTGTAGGTTTCAAAATAATTACAAAAATAGGGTAGATACTCAAAATCGCAGACGATGGCTGCGATTTCATTGTAAATCGCAAATCGCAGCCATCGCCTGCGACTAATGTCAAAATCGCGGTCATTGACCACTTCCCACTAATATCCCTTTGTTTTTTTAATTTTATTTAAAAAATCATAATTTAAGAAAAAGACTTTCATCTTAATTTTCTCCATATTTGGAAAATAGCTTGATGAATTACCTACAACATGATGGACATATTCTTGTAATGCAATAATTTAAAACAAAATAATTATAAAACAAATAAAACCCTAATTATACATATCCCAAAATTTGGATTTTTAAAGCCATATATTTCGCCATGCAAATGACAAAACATATGAGTTTCATGTAATTTATATCTTCACTTTTAGGTTTCTATTAATTTAATAATTTTTTATCGATTTAGTTTATATTAAATTTAAATATTATTTTATAGAACGTACGAAGATGAAACACGATAAGTTAAATGACATTTTAATCGATTTTAATATAATTTTAAACTTTTAGACTTTAAATGACATTTTAATCCAAATTTAAAATAAAAAAACAAAAAATTTAATCACATCTTAATTAAATTTTGCAATATTAATAAAATAACAATATATAAATTAAAATATAAATTAAATTAAATTAAAAAAATAAAAAGGTGAAAGTCGCAGACAATGTACGCAATTTCCGCCTCATCACCTGACACGTCACATATACACATTTGCATGGAAATCGCAGGCATTGTACCCGAGTTTTGACTTTTATTTTGACATAACCTATTTTTGTCAATAGTTTTGAAAACCTAACTTACATTTGAATTTATTTATTTAAAATATATTTATTTTGTAGTTATTTTTAAACTAACATTATTTTTGTAATTTATTTTTAAAATTAGATTATTTTAAATCTTTGTCGGTACTTTCTTTCTTTTTTATTTATTTCTTATTTACATCTTTCATTTCTCTCATTCTTTAACTTTTATTTGCTAATTCTTTATTTCTTCATCTTGTTTCCTTTTTTCCTCTTTCATTGTTTTTTTTACATCTTAATTTTCTTTTCTTTTTTTTTTATTGAAAACAGCAACATCTTTATTAATTCAAAAGTTCACTATGGATAAAATTGACAAAACTACTGTATGTTGGAACCAACTTGGAAAACAGGTGTTGCGAATATCAGAAACACGACAAAAGCCAGCCTTTCCAGCAATTTTCTTATTTTAGTACAATATATATATGCATTTAAATTTATGACTTTTTGATTGGGATATACATCTTAACCAATAAGTTATGGTACGTTTATATTTGATATCCTTACTTTCTTTTGTTAATGTAATTATTATTTCATTTTTTCTCTTTCTTCAAACCAATAAAATTTGTATTCGACTAGTTTTATATCTTATTCTCTATTGTGATTTGTAGATTTCTAAAATAAGAAAGAATGTTTGTTATTTTATTTTGATATTTTTATTTTGTTTGTAATTTTATTTTCAAATAGTTTAATAATTGTTTTTAATTATATTTTATTTGTTACCTATTTTGATATGTTGTTTTTTATTTGTAACTTTCTTTCAAATAAAAACAAAAATTTAAAAAGTAGATACTTCACAATACTTAAAAAGTGATATAAAAAAACTTAAAAAGTAAATTCAACATATAAAAATTCAACATATTTTATTTGTTACCTATTTTATTACACAACTTTTTTTTATAGAATAATAAAATATGATTAATTAATTTACATATATTAAAAAATATGTCATGAACTTATTTGAAAATTCCATTTTATTGAATTAAAAATGAAAAAATTAAACATAACATATCTGAAGATTTATTTCTTCACGTGGGGATGAATGCATTAAAATATTTTATGCATTAAAAAAAAAGAAAAAAGAAATAAAATGATTAGAATTGAATAGATAAAAAGAAAGTAATAAAGAACCACCGAAATTAAAAATAGATTGAAAAGCCATACATAATTTAATGGTGAAATAAAAATAGTTGAAGTTCAAACGTTCTACCGCAAAAATGAAAATTTTCAATTAGAAGGAAGAAAATTAAAGAATGAAAATTGAGAATAAGAAAAGCAGATGTAAATAACAATGAAATGAGAAATAGGTTAAAAAATGAATAAAAATAATAATCACAGGTAAGAGTAATAAATAAGAGAGAAAATGTATACCATTAAATGAAGAGAGAGAAATTAAAAAAATTAAAATAGGTTGAATAAATATTACTTCTAAACTGCGTGGAACCCATATAAAATATATCTTTTTTTATTTTTTATAAGAATAAAGATACTTGATTTGTGACCCTTTTAAATGAAAGGAATATATAAATTTTCTATACAAGGACTAGAAATTTTCTCCGACGAGACGTTGGAATGGCATCCGAGTCGGATCCGCATCAGATGCCATACTCACGTGTCACTTCCAAGCCGAAGCCCATAGTACCTGTTCCTCCCACTTCCCACTTCCCCATGGTTTTGCTCTTCAAAAATCAAAATTTTCTCTCTTTCCCTGTTATTCCATCACTGTAATCTCCGAAGAAATTCTCTGTCTCTCTCAGGTACCTTCCACTTTCTTCATTGTTTGTTTGTTTTCTTTTTCTTCTAATCGTATATCTTTATATATTCCAATCCCTTTTTCCCTTTTTCTTTCCGAACAAGAATCTTTCCGAATCCATGCTACATTGAAGTTTGGTTTTCGTTCAGTGTTGTGCTCCATTTTGGATTTTGCATACAGTGTAGTGGTCGAATCTCGTGAGAACTATCTACAGAAGGGAAATCAATCTCGATTTTATATTTCCATTCGTATTAGGTCTTTGATTTGAAACCATCCTGCTCAAGGGAGCTTCGATCTCACCTCACGCCGACTTCGAATCGATTGTGGCCACTCGAATCGAGGTATGTTCCTCCAATTTGATTGTAGTTATTATTTCTTTTTGTTTGTTTTGCTGTTGAAAGATATTTGGAAGTGATTAGTTCCTGATTATAGTGATTGTTTGCCCCAATTGGATGTTTAGAAGTGAATTAATATTATCTCCGCCTGTTCTTCTTCATCGGAGCCCTGCCATACAAACGATTATAAAAGTGTTACAAAACATAATGCAACAAAAGAACTTCCAAGTAGCTTCAATCTTTTCTCAATACACAAACTGACTCAAGGTCAGCCCATTTGAAGGTTACACGAAAAAGCCAAAAAGGGAATAAATGTGGCTAATAACTATTTTCTCTACAAGCCAAATAAAGCAATGGAAAGTGGTTCTTAGCTTTGTAAATGAGTGAAGAGTACATAAGGTAAGTAAGAGAAATAGGAAAAAAAAATAGCTGCTGTCATGAAGGACAAAAAAGTCAGCACTGCTACAATCTTTCAATGGGAAAGGTTAAGCTGTCAAAGTCAATTTTGGGAGGTTATTTCCCAATCTTTGCCTTTATGTTATGCTAATTTATGGTAAACTAAAGCAATGGATGGGCAATTAAACATACCAATAAAAATGGTACACGGACATGGTTAATGATAGTAACTTTGCTGTCATTAGCAATCAAGGGGAAGCAATTGGCAAAGGACGATTTTGATGGCTGTCCTCTTCACATTGTTGCACAGTTTCAACATCTTCTCCATTTTCTGTGTAGAATGAAGAAAACAAAAAAGAAATAGAAGTAAAAAAGGCATAGGAATCATCTCTCTTTCAATTTGCTGCTACAATAACCAAAAGTTTGATTGATTAATACAGAAAATTTTTATTGGAAATTATCAACAATAGTTAACAATAATTTGAACTTTGAAGTATAAGAACCTTATTAGTCAGTCTACAATCTACTATTGACGGTTAATTAACAACTTATTATTCTTCCTTAGTAGACTGGTTAGATAATTGATTGAAACCTAGATATCTGTTATCAATAGTCAGAAAGTAAAAAAATCAGTAACTTACTTTTGATATTGATAGAATCAATCTCTTGATGAAGTTAAGCAATAATTGGTCATTCTTTGCAATTGAAACCAGCCGATTATTTGCAATCATTAGATGATATCTTATGTTTTCATATGTACTATTCTTTGCCATTTGAGTTAATTAGTAAGTGGCTACTTTAAAATAAAAAATAAATAAAGGACCTTCTTGCAAAAACCTCAAAAGTGACGCCTTATTTAGAAAGCTCTTTCTCTACTTTTTTAACACAGTGATCCCATGTTGGATCACTATCTTTCTCTTTACTGCCTTCTACCATTCTTTTTCTTTGTAGAATAAAAATAAATAGTAAGAATGGTAAAAGAAAAACCTGAAAATATGAGTCCACTTGAGAGTTGAGAGCACCAGATTCTCTATTGTAACAAGTAGCTTTTTGTTTTTGTTTCTGTGATGTGTAGCTTGCTTTCTGTGATGTGTGTTGTATATTAATAAATAAAATAAAACAAATTTGGTTATATTATATAATTTAAAAATGTTAAAACTCTTTTCACCTCCCTCCAGCCCATTGGTACCCAATTTACTTTTAAATTTTATTAAATCCCAGCCAACCTAAATTTCTCTCTCTCTAATCCACACCGTTTGCCTTCTTAGATCTTCCCATCTCACGCCCTAATTTCTTCTGCCGCTTATTCTTCTTCTTCTTCTTCTTTCTTCGTACGTTTTTAACAACATTGTGACTGTTACTGAAATTGTGAAAATAACGTCTCTTGTAGGTGATTTTGCTTGTTTGAAATGGCTTCTTCTGCTCTAATCTCTGATACCGAGGAATGGAAGAACTTGAAGGTACTTGGATAGTGAAGTTGAATTTAAGCTTTGTATGTATTATCATAGTGCTGAATCTTATCTTGTCCGCAGGCTCATGTTGAGGACATTAACAAGACCCATCTACGTGATTTGATGAGTGATGTTGCCCGATGCAAATCCATGATGGTGTATGATGATCATAGCCTTTTTGGTTTCCCTGGATTTTTAGTTTGTATTCATACCATTTTATGATGAATTCATAAGTTAGATTGTTCAATGTAATTATGGTTGTTCTATTTTAATTTGATAAGATATTTTATTGATGATGCTAAGTCTTTGTTACTTTGTTAGTGAGCATGATGGGTTATTGTTGGATTATTCACGACAACGGGCCACCCTTGACACCATTGGAAAGCTATTTAAGTTGGCAGAGGTGGGATTTGCTCATTGTTATTATGGATGGATGGAAATTGTTGTTCTCTAATAACTTTTGGCATCTTGCTCAATTCAGGTGGCCAATCTGAAGGCAAAAATTAACCGGATGTTCAATGGGGAACATGTAAGTGCAGGTTTTCTTTTCATTTCTAATCCATGCAAACAATTTTTTTGAATCAATAGTAATGATCCAGTAGTCATCCATTCTTCAGGAAGCAAATGTTGGCATTGTAATTCATTTGCCTTACTTGTGCATGAAGAGTATATAAGTTCTTCTCTGCCTTGTTCTAGAGTGTCTAAACTTTGTATCATCAATCTTTAACATTGGAAAATAAAAGAAGAATAATTATTCTTTCTATCCTCGTTCTTGTGGCCTTTAGATAAACAGCACCGAAAATAGGGCAGTGCTGCATGTTGCTCTTCGTGCTTCCAGAGATGCAACAATACAGAGTAACGGAAAGAATGTTGTGCCTGATGTTTGGAAAGTTCTTGATAAGATCCAGGAGTTCTCTGAGAGAGTTCGCAATGGTTCTTGGGTAAATCTGTGTTTCTTATTCTTCGGCTCTAATGCACTTTGCACTTCTAACACTTTACAAGTTATGGTAGGTTGGAGCCACAGGAAAACCTCTGAAGGATGTTGTTGCTATTGGCATTGGTGGCAGCTTCTTGGGGCCGCTGTTCGTGCACACTGCACTTCAAACAGGTTTTCAAGATATTTCTTCCCCTCGTATATCTTCATTTTCGTAGTCCATTGACTAGAATCATTTCTTAATTCTTCACTCGTTTAAAAAATGATAAATTCGAAAATAGTCAATTTTGAAAAAAATTTATCTTAGACAAGGAAGCTTTGAAGCATTTTTTTTTTCATGGTATTTACAGATCCAGAGGCTATTAATTCTGCAAAAGGACGTCAGTTACGTTTGTAAGTACTCCTGTGACACTCTCTCTGTCAATGGGACAATATGCAATCTGCTTTAGAGAGCTATAATTTCATCTTGTTGGAAAATTGTAAAAGGAGTTGGAATTTTCAGAAACAACAAAACTATAACTAGTCAATAGATGAATTATTAATATATGAAAAAGGTTTAGATGTAATTTCTAGGTTGAAGCATGTCAATGCAATATATATCTTCAAGAAGATATGCCCCTACTGCACTGGGTTAGTTGAACCAAGATGCAACAATCCTTTTGAATCTCAAACCACCTGCATGTTAAAAAAAAGTAAGTCAAAGTGTTAGGTGGTTTTAGTAACTTTGTAAAATTAACATTAAGTATAAAAGGTCTCTGTAAAGTGTCAATTTTGGGGGAAAAAAGGATAAGTTTGTGATATTAACCGATCATTTTTCATTTTAAAAGTACACTCATGGATACTCTGTTTTATTTGAGTGAAAATCTCTTTTTTCTTTGATCTTCTTCCTCTTTTTCTTTCTTATTTTACTGCTGCTTTGTATTGTATATCATCTTTCTCGATGATATACTTTCTAGTTTCTATGCTCTAAAAGAAATTTCAAAGGACATGTCATTGTCTATGGGCAACAGGAGAAAGTTTGTGATATTAACAGGTCATCCTGCTAATTTTTTTTTGTGATGAGAACATTATTCTATTCATGGTTGGTTGGTCGGTAGGTATGGTAGCATTTTAGGTCCATTTAATAAAGTGGTTGATATGATATTTAAAATTTGTGGTTTTCCAATTTTACTTTTTGGTGATATTGGGAATCCGGCTAAAAGATTTCACCATTTCTATGCTGTTCTTGCAGTCTTGCGAATGTTGACCCAATTGATGTGGCGAGAAATATAACTGGGTTAAACCCTGAAACTACTTTAGGTAGGTTTCTTATTCATTGAACAGTTCATTTTGGCAAGACAATTATTGTTCAAACTTCTACTTTTCATTATTACCTTCTTCATTAGTTAGTTATTTAATATGTTTGCAGTTGTGGTGGTTTCAAAGACTTTTACCACTGCTGAAACTATGTTAAATGCCCGGACACTGAGGGAGTGGATTTCTGCTGCTCTAGGGTTAGTGAAGTCATCTACTACATTATTCTTATGGCTGTTTTGGATTCTTGCTTCATCAGGCGTTGCATGGTATAGTTTTGTGGATAGATTTGAGAGGCTGAGATAGCATTTTTATATCATTTCAACAACTAAGTAGAATATCTCACTCAGTCACACTTGATGATGCGGGATTGGTTTACTTATTCAAATGATTAGTTTTCTTATCATCTATGCTCGATTTGATTTGATTCCCTTGAGTGCCCTTGAATTTTTTGAATTTTGGTAGTCTAAGTTTAGCCAAGACCATGAAATACGTTTTTCCATGATTCAATAGGAAACAGAGGATATTGTATGTGTGTGTATGCATATAGAATCCTGAAATAGGAGGAATTTCCAATGGGAAAACATGCGTACAGATGTTTTTTGGGATAATGTTAAATAAATCGTCCTCAAATGACTATTTTCAAACAATGAGGAACCCATTAATTGATTAAACTTGGGAGTACCGAGAAGAAGCATGGTATTTAACATTAATGGGATCCTCATTCTTTCTTATTAAGACGTAAAAAATTTGGATAGTTCTTGTTATGTGCTTGTTTAATTCTACATCATATATCATGTGGCGATTTCCCATATCTTTGGTTCATATGTTTATAATAAATTATTTAACCATCTTAACACCAAAGATGAGAAATAATAAGTTTGGAGGTATATTTTGTGCCAATTATTCATAAATCACCCATCAATTTTGTCATCTTTTTAGATGGTTTTTTAATTTGATAAATTGAGATATAATTTCTTTTACCTAATTTCATGGGAATATAAAAACAACAATTAGGGAAAGTAATAGTCATGTTTCTAATCCTCGTATCATTATGTCATTTCTCACAGATAAAAACTTGGATCATGACACTTTTTTTTTTAATCTCAGGCCTTCAGCTGTTGCAAAGCATATGGTAGCAGTTAGCACAAACCTTCCGGTATTGTCATTTATCTGATCTTTAGTACTGTTGGATGGGAACCAGAGCACCTCCATGCCCTGTGACCCATTGCATGTTTATTTTTCTTGGACATTTTTTTTGTTGAAGCACTACAGATCTCGGGGATAGATGTTCATGCTGTTCAATTTGTGTGCTTGCTCCTTTCCTGCAATCTTTACTTTAAAAATCTTTGGATTTCACAGCTTGGCTTACTTCAATTTGTGGAAATATTTTGTACGTCCCTCATTGCCACTTTCCAGTTGCTTAGCATACCATGGAGGACATGTTCTAGTTTTAGTTAGTCAAAGTTAAGTGAGAAATGCATTGGGCCACACCAGCTGGCAGCCTTTTGGAGCTTAAGCTTGATGTGAAAAGAAAGTGTGTGCTTCAGTGAGGTGAGACATAATAATATATAAAATATATTAACAATTTAATACTACAAACATGAGTTAAAGAAAAATACCAAACGATGTAAGATTTCTTTAGGAAATTGGGTTTAGTATAGGAATTTTGTCTACTTTATTCCTTGTACTAGAAAAGGAGGGGGGCAAAAGAGAAAAGAAAACAATATGAGGCAAAAATTTGTGGTGTGTGATACAGTGCCGAGAAGTGGTCACTTCACCTCATATGAGGCGAGGCACCCTTGGCATGCCTTTTAAGTTTGTGTTATTTTCCAAAATTCTCCTGCACATTTTCTGCAGTATTCTTGGTTCATGTTTCCGCTGACCCATTTGCTCCTGCTTTAAGTTTAACAATGTATGTTGGTTTTGTTCCTTAAATAAATTTTCATGGCTTCACCACTTCCAGTATAATTACTGGTAGATTTTCTGATGCAGCTTGTAGAGAAGTTTGGTATTGATCCTAATAATGCCTTTGCATTCTGGGACTGGGTTGGTGGACGGTACAGTGGTAAAAATTTCTTGCTCATTCAAAATTCTTCTGTGGTTTCCATGCTTTTGATTGGCAATCTTACGATGAAACAGTTAAAAGTGTGAAGTTTGGTTGCAGTTTGCAGTGCTGTAGGAGTGTTGCCTTTGTCTCTTCAATATGGCTTCTCAGTTGTTGAAAAGTATGGTTCCTTGTTATTCTAAAATATAGTTTTACCTCTTGTTGTATTCAACATGGATAAAATCGTGTTGTTTCTATGGCTGCTTAGAAACTGCACGTGGTTAGAATTGGATTTTGGGGGGGGGGG